CCACTCACCGCCACCTTCTCCAGGAACGCTGGTGCCACGTAGTAGTCCCCCACTATGTTGTTGAATGTACGGAAGTCGTACGCGCGCAGGGTGCCGTCCGCAATATCGGATTTGTGGCCCAGCACCTCACCCGCAACAAGCTGTCAAGATGCTCCACGTTTTGGCCTGCATGCAGGTGTACGGCAAGGGGGTGTAGGTGGGGGGGGGAGTGAAATAGGAGAGGGTCAAGGCCGGAAAGGTGGGGCGTTGAGAAAACCGGGGAACTGGGGGGAAGAGAGGAAATTCACGAGAGATTGCGAGGGGGTGCTTGGTGCTGGAAAGATGGGGGAAGGTGCAGCCTGCATTTGTCTTGCATGCGCGTATACACATGTGCATGCACAGGGCCCTATCGAGCAGTAAGGACTGCACCTTTGGCTGCGGCTGATCGCACGTGTGTGCGTGTGCGTGTTCGTGTGTGTGTGTGTGTGGGGGGGTGTCTAACTCTTAGAGGAGGATGTACGATCGACAGGGTTATTCAAAGGGGGTGGGAGATGGCCGGCCACAGCAACTGGGGGAACGAGGAGGAGGGGGAGGGGGAGGGGATGTTTGACCGCGTGCCCGGGGGTGGGGAAGGGGGTGTGGGGGAGACAGGCGCTGGCGCTGGCGCTGGCGCTGGCGAAGCTGATCCTGAGCCATGACAGGCGCATGCTGCAGCATATAGCCGGTTGATCAATACATGGCATAGTGCCGTTGCACTTCATGGTGCTGGGGACGCACCGTGGTCCACATTGATGTTGTAAAGCTGCTTCGCGCCGATGTCGTAGAGGTAGTCGTTCTCACGGTCCTCCGAGCCCTTCTCCTTCGCGGACCAGGAAGATCCAGAACGGCGCTGCAGCACTCCGTCGGAGAAACGGACAGCGGAAAAGCGTTCGCTGGAAGTTGATGCTTCCTCAGCATCCTGGAAGAAAATTTCGCTTGCTGTCGGGCCCTCATCAGCAAAATAATCCCTCCAGCTTCCAAAAGCAGCGCGTGTAATGACGCTACGTGGACGCGTGGAGCGCGGCCTGGCTAGGCTCGGACGTTGCGAACACCGTTGAGGGCCACGAATGCCAGCCTGCATCGGGAATCAATCGTTCCTAGCTAAAACAGGTGATTGTAGTTTCGCTAAAGTCAAAGTAGTATGCAAGTTGCCCGTTAGCGTGCACCCGCTTGCAGCTTAGCAGCTCAACTAGTTGTTGTTTAGTTCGTTACAACAATTGCGCGACGTGATTCGCCAAAACACCAATAAGGAATGTAAATCTATGTACAGAAATCAGTTTGTCAAAAGATAAGGGCATTTGGTGAATGCAAGCATAATTGTCCCAGGCACGCTGGTTGTCATCGCAAATGCGTGAACGGACATAGTCGCACAGCTCACAAATTAACGCACAACTACATATACAATGCGCCAACGTAAACATAGAACGGAAGGTATTGCTCGCCTTCGTATGATCGCCTCAGCGCGACTGCTGCCAGCTGCACGAACTCAGCTGGCGCCATGCATCTTACCACAAATCAAAGGCAAACCGATGAGGAATCTGCATGTGGTTCATTGCTTCCAACCAACATCCCAATCCCACCAGCCGACCCGCGGGCGACGCTCTTCAGCAGGTAAGGTCCACACGGCGAGCAGTTTCACACCATGCTTCATTAATGCCTATGAGGAATGAATGCATCATCTACTTCCACTTTCTGCAACTCGCACACACAGTTCGTCATTTGTACAGAACATGGACAGCTTTCACACTTCACCTCAAGTCAATCGTAAAAGCGGTGGCCATATATGTCTAAGTTTTACATACGTGCGGCACCGTACGGTGTTTACTACGTCTATGTGTCCACGTGACGGCATCACGTGTCCGTAGACTCATGCATTCTCGCATCCACGTGCAATTTACAGATGTACACACACGTGGCAGATGCCATACATAGATGCGATTACGAAAATGAAGCTACTCGTCCCGCATCTCTGTCTCCCGACATCCGCACTAAACAACCCATAGCTGCAAGAAAACACACGCAACCCACGCAACCCCCCCCCCCCGCCCGTTCCCCCCTGCCCACCTCACCGCCCGCTGGAGCCGGCTCGCCCGCCCGCACCCGTTTCGGAGGACCTGGCTCCCCCCACCCGGCTGGGGGGTGCGGGAGGGGGGTCAGCGGCCAACATGCCGCGGGCGGGAGACGCCCCCACATTGCGCCCCCCCACTCCACCACCACCACCACCACCTCCACCTCCCTCCGACGTCATGGTTCCACCGCCCCCC